CCTTGCGCCTGAGCACGTCTTCGAGATGTCTCAAAGCGCTTCACGGGATATACTGCAAAGTGTAGTGACTGTATAGTTTGTGGGCGAAACGCTAAAGACAATCGCGCACAGCAGCGTCCCGACAAACAGTTGTGGACTGAAGTGACCAATTTATTATTATTATTATTAATGTTATTTGGAGGGATTATTACCCCCGGAAAAGCGATCGAACAATCACAACCGGGTTCCTACTTACTGCTGGTGAACAGAGGCGCGTGTGTGTGTGTGCGTGCGCGCGTGTGTGTGTGTGTGTGTGGACAGGTGCCGTGGGCGGGTGATGACATTCTCAATAGGAATGCGTGGAGCAATGGCGTATTTTCCTTACATCCAAGTCTCTTCAACACCCGATTTGCTATTACCCCCATAAACCCCATCACTGCCTTTAATGCTCAACTCAACCTCTGTCTGAAGGTGGAGGTGGGGAAGTAACAAGGGATCGATTCCAATTCACTTGATTGGAGTTCCAGTGATGATTAGCCCACCAGTTCTTTCTTGTTAACTCCCTTTACCCCCGAGCTTGAACGCCAATGGTTTAAACCCCATGTTACACGTCACCCCCCACCACCACCACCCCTTTTCTGTTGCCACTCTCAAAAAATGCACTGAAGTTTCGGTCCCAGCGATACATAAATAGATAGGCTGGCAGGAGGGTGTGGTTTGAGAGGCTTTGCAAAGGAAACCGGCTAAGATGTTGGGCTCGGGTCCTGATTTGAGGAACAAAATGGGGTCGTGCTTCACCCAGATATCTCGCCCAGCGTGGGACTGAGTGGAAAGGAAGTCCAAGGCATTTGACTTTTGTTCCCGCTTTAAGAAAAAGGCTCCTTACCCGCCCTGAATCTCCTAGAAGCCTTGGCTCCCCCTCACACCAACAGTGTTAATAATAATAATAATAATCCTTGCATTTGATACAGCGCTCTATCACGTCATCGAGACGTCTCGAAGCGCTTCACAGGACATACTGAGAAGTGGAGTGACTGTAGATTTTGTGGGCCACACGCAGCAACCAATTGTGCTCAGCGACGTCCCACAAACAGTCGTGGATTGAAGTGACCAAATTATTATTAAGATTTATTTATTTATTTGGAAGGGATTATCATTATTCCCCAGAAAAGCGATTTCCCCCAATCGACTAACAACCGGGTTCTCACTAACCACTAAGTCAGCAGAGGTGTGTGTGGAGTAAAAAAACTTGGGTCCACTGAGCTATGGGGTTGGGGGAGGGTGTGGTGGGGGGGGTCCACAATCTGCTGCTGCCACAGAGGAGGAAAAGCCTTGGCAATGCCTCCATCCCTCGAATACCTTTGGCTTCCGGTGCATTTTTGAGGAGAGCGGCAACGACACTTTTTTAACTTGACTTCTGTCGGGAGTTTGCCCCCGAACCGCGGCAAGAATAACAATAAGCTTAAGACGCAACAGTCTTCCCCTGAGATCGCAGGGGGTAAAGGGGCCGCAGGGATGTGTGGATACATACATCGACAATGAGGAAATCCAGCCAGCACCAGGCATTAGTAAAGTACTTCTGAAAACCATAGGCCGTCCACTTCAACAACATCTCGATGATAAAGATGTACGTGAAGCACTGATCTGCGGAATCCAGGATGATTCTGATCGTCTTCCGCTGCTCAATATAGATGTCCTCAAATGCCTGGAGCAACGACAGCAACAACAACAACTTACATTTACACAGCGCCCTTCACGTGAGGTAGAGTCCCCGAGCGCTTTGGCGGTGGTAGAGTCTGACCCCGAGCCAAGAGGGAGGGAGGGAGAGGGAAGAGGATACACAGTAAAGTGAGAGTGACTGTGTGTGTGTGTGTTTCGTGGGGGAAACGTGGCTGCCAATTGCGCACAGCAGTGTCCCCACAAGGCGTGAGCCACCAATTTTATTGGGAGGGGGAGTGGGGTGGGAGGGGTTGGGGGGGGGGTGTTGTTGGCCAGTACTGCGGGATGTTGTCATCAGCAGTGAGTGGCCTGGAATACTGTGGACCTTCCTGGCTCAGGAACCGAAACGGGATGGGAGAGCGTGTGAGAGGTGGGTGTTGGGTGAGAGGTGGGTGTTGGGTGAGAGGTGGAAGGGTTGGGTGAGAGGTGGGTGTTGGGTGAGAGATGGGTGTTGGGTGAGAGGTGGGTGTTGGGTGAGAGGTGAGCGGATCGGGTGAGAGGTGAGCGGATCGGGTGAGAGGTGTGGGTGTCGGGTGAGAGGTTGGGTGTCGATGGGAGCCACTTGCGAAGTCGTACCAGAGCTCCACTGCTGAGCAGGATCATGAAGATGATGAAACTCTCAAAAATGTTGTGTTCCACGATCAGGAAGCAAGTCTTTCTCAACGTCCACCAGCGTTTCCACCAACCATCCTCTACGCTGACCTGACAGCACTTGTAGCGACGGATGCAGCCTGCAAAAGCCGTGCGGAGAAACAGCGATAATAATAACCCTTGCATTTGATACAGCGCCTCATCGCATCGTCTCGAGACGTCTCAATATGGCCTCCGCGGGGTATTACTGCAACGCGGATTGATCTGCATATTCTCTGGGCGAACCGTGGCAGCCAATTGCCCACGGCGACGTCCCCACACGCACCAACAGTCATCGGTTGAGTGACCCCATCATTATTTATTATTATTATTGATTGAATAATTATTATTATTATCTGATTTTAATTTTGTTGCTTTTTCAAGGGATTATTACCCCCCCGCGGAAAAGTTTGTGTGTGTGTGTGGGGGGGGGGGGGGGGGCGGGGGAGGAGTAGGGAAACTTGCCTAACAGTGAGCCAAAGCACCGCCCACTGCCAGTGTTAATAGTCCCGGTGTCTGGTGCACAGGCTTCTCACGACTGCTGAGATGTCTCACAGCGTTTTGTGGGGTTTACCCTGGCGGTCTCTGACCGCTGCGCCACGCCCTCCCACGCCCTTCCTGATCCCCAACCCCCTCCCCCGCCCCTCCACCCCTTCCTGATCCCAACCCCCGCCCACCCCCCCCAGCTCGGGTCGAAATCTCTGACTGTCCAGCGCCTTGGGACGTCCTCCCGACATGAAAGTCACCGTGTAAATGTGTTGTTGTTGTTGTTACCGTCAGTGAAACAGGCTTCGGGATCCAGATATTCCTCTGGTTGCTCTACTGGAGGTTCTCCCTCTCCTTCTGGCTTGATGTCAATTGTGCTTCCCTCAGAGGAACTCGTGTCGTCCAGTTTCTGTGAAGTAAAGAGGTAACATGTTATTGGAAATAATATCTGGGGGGGATACAGTCTATAGTTTGGGGACACGACATGTGCAAGCCACTGCCACGACGGTGGGTGGAAGGTGAACTGGACGGACCTTGGTCTTCTTTCGTCCAGCGAATTTGTTCTGGGACGTTTTGGAGTAATTGGGAGATTGGGGCGGGTGGAGGGAGGAGGACGGGGTGAGGGAGGGAAACAGAGACAGGAGGACAGGGGAAAGGACCTCTCACCTCTTTGCTGCCTTCAATGTCGGACTCGCTGCTGAAATCCTCGGTGTTGAGGTTCTCGAAGTCGGACTCGCCCACGGCAATGGGCACCCTGACGGTCAGGTTGGGGTTGTGGATGAAGGAGTTGTGGTCCTCGTCGATCATGTACTTCTCGACGCTGCTGCCGATTCCGCTGGTGGTCCCGTTGCCGTTCTTCTGGTAGTCCATCTCCCGGTTGATGTCTGCGCCCGTGTGGTTGCCCATGTAGTTCCCCTTCTTGTCCACGAAATCATCCAAGGGTTTGGCCTCGTCTGCATCCTTCTTCTTGAAGTGCTTCTGCACAAACTCCCGCCCGTAAGCCTTTATGAAGGCAATGCCCGTCTTGATGCGAATCACCGAGATCTGGAGGTTGTTCATCTCACCGTCATCATCAGTGGCCGCTAGATTGTCTGCGCTGAACGAGCTCAGCAGCAAAGCCAGGAAGAGGTTCAACACCTAGAATCGTAGAATAATATTTAATGATAATAATAATAATAATCCTTGCATTTGACACAGCGCCTCATCACGGCTTCGAGACGTCTCAAAGAGCTTCACGGGATACGCCGTACAGCGAATTGACTGTGTGTTTTCGTGGGAGGAACGCGACAGCCAATTGCGCCCAACGACGGCCTACAAACAGCCGTGGAATGAAGTGAGCAATTTATTATTATTATTATTATTAATATTATTTGGAGGGAATATTACCGCACGGAGAAGCGATCCGCAATTCGACTAACAACTGGGTTCCTACTTGCTGCTGGATAAACAGGCGCGCGCGCGTGTGTGTTTGTGCGTGTGTGCGCGTGTGCGTGTGTGTGGTTTGTGTGTGTGTGTGTGTGTGTGGTGTGTGTGTGTGTGTGGGGGGAGTGAGAAACTTGCCCAACATTTCGCCCAGTCCTGACCCGCCCGGGATTCGAACCCCAGTCCTCTCGCTTGCGAGGCGAGGGGCTCCGACCGCCGACTCCGCAAACATCCCCACGGTTCCAGCAGCGCCACTTACCACCAAGTTGCCGATGACCATGACCATCATGAAGACGCACAGGCACATGGCCTGCCCGGCCACCTCCATACAGTCCCACATAGTCTCGATCCACTCCCCGCACAGGACCCGGAAGACGATGAGGAAGGAGTGGAAGAAGTCGTTCATGTGCCAGCGGGGCAGGATACATTTCTCGCTGATCTTGCACACGCAGTCCTTGTACATCTTGCCGAACAGCTGCATGCCAACCACGGCAAAGATGAAGACGATAATGGCCAACACCAGGGTCAGGTTGCCAAGTGCCCCCACCGAGTTGCCGATGATCTTGATCAGCATGTTCAACGTTGGCCACGACTTGGCCAGTTTGAAGACCCTCAGCTGAAAGAACCACGGAGAAGGACATTGTGAGGTTGTGCCCGCAAACCACACACATACACACACACACGCGCGCACACAGACCCATCACCATCGCTTAAGAGTTCCAGAGTTGAGGGAGAGGGTTCCAGAGTTTGGGGGCCTGGGGTAGTGGCTGAGGGCAAAGCCGCCGATGGTGGAGTGCGACACGTTAGTAAGTGAGTTACACAAAGTGTTTGGTATTTACCAATCGGAAGGATCGGAGCACAGACAACCCAGCCACGTTCGACAGACAGAGCTCCATTAAACTCAGCGACACAATGAAGCCGTCAAATATGTTCCATCCTTCCTGGAAATAATAGTAAGGGTCCATCGCGATCAGCTTCATCATCATCTCAGCCGTGAAGATCCCTGTGAAGACCTACAAGAGAAAGAAGCCGACATCTTCTGTGAATTGTCATCTTCTTAATAATAATGATGATAATCGTAATAATAATAATAATCCTTGCATTCGATACTGCACTTTTCATGGGGAAAGGGATTGAGGGATCGAGGGAGAGACTTCCAGAGTTTCGGCTGGGGGGTTTAATGACTGATGGTGGAGTAGAGGGTAAGAGGAACAAACAGGATCTCAGACGTGTGTGTGTGTTGTGTTAAAACTCCATTTCCCCGCCGATCTCTCCCACTTTCAACCCAACATCCATCCCGGCTGTTCAACGTTAATGCCCGTTTTATCCATCCCGATTCGGGTGAAAAAAGGTCGACACGCACTTAATAATAAGGCTGCAATCCTTCCGTTTGACATCACGCCTTATCACATCATCGAGACGTCTCTAAGCGCTTCACAGGATATACCATGTGTTTTGTGGGTGAAACGCGGCAGCCGATTGTGCCCAACGACGTCCCCACAAACAGCCGTGGATTGAGTGACTCCACCTTAGTTAGTTAGTTAGTTGGTTGGTTGGTTGGTTAGTTATTTTTGGAGTTACAGTATTATTACTTGACAGATTCGATAACAACTTTCAAAAGGGAATTGGAAAAGAAAAATTTGCAAGAATATGGGATAAGAATGGGGGGAATCTGAGTGGGACTAATTAGTGGCTCTTCCAAAGGGCTGGTACAAGCACGATGGGCCGAATGGCCTCCTTTCTGAGCTGTAGGATTCTATGACACCAAAACACAGCCGGGGAAGGAGAAGACAGGAATATTCTTACCAGGTTTCCCACGCTCAACACGTCCTCAAACTGCCGTGTCATTGGGTAGTGCTCCATGGCCATGAAGAGGGTGTTGAGGACGATACAGATGGTGATGGTCAGGTCTACAAAAGGATCCATCACAATGATGTTCATAATCTCCTTAATCTTCAGCCAGGTGGGACAACATTCCCAGATCAGAAAGGTGTTGGCAAACTTGTACCAGCAAGGTGGACACTTCCTCTGAGATTCTTCAAGCTCTGTAATTATAATAATATACATATAGAGAGAAAGAATAATATAATCATGTAATGATAATCCTAATAATGATAATAATTGGGTCACGTCATCGAGACGTCTCAAAGACCCTTCGCAGAATATACTATAAAGCAGAGTAACTACGTATTTTTGTGGGCGAAACGCGGCAGCCAATTGCGCCCCGGAGTGTTTCCCCCCACCCCTCACCCCCCCCACCCTCTACCCCCCCCCCCCACACACACACACACACACACACAAACACTGGTGGATTGAGTGACCAAATTTTTTTTTTTCCCCGGAAATGAGCAAAGTGAGCAGGACACACACCTTCCAAGGTGTTGGTCAGGACACTTAAGACGCTGTTGGCTCGGTCTTTTCTCCCGAAGGATGCATTGAGTTGGTCCATGGACACCAGGAGAGAGCCAGAGTGCTTCTTTTTACCCTCCACCTCCGTCGTGGCCTGGAAAAGGGGTCAAGGTGCCCAAATGAGTTTGCTTTTGTGTGTTTGCCGGGAAAGCTCCATTGCATCTCGCATGCGTCATCCAGTAGGAAGCAGGCAAAGAAGGAGTGAGGGGCAAAAGAGAGGATGGGGTGGGGAGGGAACGAAGGGAAAGAAGAGAAGACAGCTTCAAGCAGTTCCTACTACAGTATCCGTTAAATACAGGCCTTTGTAGGTTTCCTTTTGGGTGTCTGGCACATACGGAAACCCATCACCGTTGCTTAAGAGTCTCCAAACCCAACTAAGAATCCCAGGCCTCCCGTCTACACATGGAAACCCCAGAGAGAGATTGTTGGGATGGAATACGCTCTCTCTCTCTCTCTCCCCTGGAGGGACGCCCCCCGCTTACCTAATTCCAGAGAGTACTAGGCGCAGGTTGGCGAGAACCAAGGCTTGTGGGGGTGGTGAGAGGTGGGGGAGCCCAGAGTGTGCGTTGGGGGCAACTGCTGGGAGTCTAACCAGCTAAACCCACGCATAGCTTGGCCATTGAAAGAGAGAGAGAGAGAGAGAGAGAGCGCTGTCTGGCCAAGCTTTCCTGCTGCTTATCCAGCTGGGAACCCCCTCTCTCCCCCTCCCGCCACTAAGAGGGTCAACCTGCCCCCCGTTGTGCCAGTTTTTCATTTGCACAAACATCTTCCAAAGCTCAAATGGAAAACCAATTGCACTCGGCAGAGCTTTGCCCAAACCACAGCCAAGAGACAGATGGTCATCATATTAACATTAATAATAATAATAATAATAATAATCCTGGCATTTGACCCGGCGCATCACCACATCGTTGAGATGTCTCAAAGGACACACTGTCAAGTGTAGTGACTGTGTATTTTGTGGGCGAAACTCGGCAGCCAATCGCGCACAGCGGCGTCCCCCACAAACAGCCGTGGATTGAGTGACCAAATTATTATTATTTTTATTATATTTTTGAAGGGGTGATTACCCCCGGAGAAGCGATCCGCCAATCGACCGGATAACCGGTTACTGCTGGGTAAACAGGCGGGCGGAGCGAGGGAACTGGTTGGGCTGTGCGTCTGTTGGGAACCCAGGTCCTCTCGCTTGCCAGGAGAGCGATCTAACCACTAGGCTTCCGCGCACAGCAGTGTCCCACAAACAGCGGTGGGAACCGAGCAACCGACTCGCGCAACAGTAAACCTCTCTTTGAAAGTGGTGCGTGGCATGCATCATGCTTTCCATTGATCTCTCTGTTAGAGCGATGAAGGCATGCCAGCATAGCAAACGGATAACCGGGGGTGGGGGGGGGGGTGGGGGGTGTGAGCGGGTGAGCTCCGATGAGCTGAAAGAGAAAGAGTTGGGAAGAGAAGCTATAACCTCGGAGCCCAGGAAAATGTCTTTGGGATCCATCTCGTTGAAGCCAATATCTTTTTCCACTCAAGAAACCGCACCCCCCCCCCCACCCAAAAAAAACACACAGGCGTCGCGAAATCACGGAAGGGGGAGCTTTCCATATGCGTAGATAAGGAGAAACAGTTTGATTCCTGGGCGGGTCGGGGCGATTACCTCAGGGGAGGTCTCCCCAAATTGGAAGAGAGGAAGAACTCTTGGAGCCCACATAAAGTTGATTGTGGGAGTGGGGTACAGAGACATGGTTTAACACATGCCAACACCACCCTTCCCCCCCCACCACCCCGTACCCCACACCTAGAGGAACAGGAGGAGGCCATTCAGCCCCTCGAGCCTATTCCGCTATTTTATTCCATTCACCTTTCCAAGACTGAGGTGGTTAGACGTTCGTCAGGTCAGGGGATCGAGGGATATTGGGCAAAGGCGGGTGATTGGAGATGGGGTACAGATCAGCCATGGTCTAATAGAATGGCGGAACAAGCTCAAGGGGCTGAATGGCCTTTACCTGTTCCTAGGTTTCTATAAGATCCATGGATGATCTGAATCTCAACTCAATGCCAATTACTCCCCTTTGCCCCGTATTCCCCCCCCCCCCTCCCCTCCCACCCGGCCCTGTCCCCCAAGGAAAGCAAAGGGCAAAACATGTGGGATTGCTTGGGGGTATTTGGTCGACTCGGGTATTTATTTCTGTTTGAGTGGAAAAGGATGTTGGGTAAGAGCCCCACAATGATCGATCCATCCCGTTGCCAACCAAGACATTTTCGGAAAAAAGAGAGAAAAAGATTCAGTCCCGGTTTTGTTTTTTTTGTTTCTTTTCCGTTTGTTCGTACGTTTGTTTTTGATGAACGTTTCCTTAATTGGCTCAACTCCGTTAATTAGGAGGGAAGATTTTGAGGCGGGCGGGCGGGTGGGGGGAGGGGCAGGTCGGGGCAGGAGGAGAGAAGGGGAGAGGGAGAGAGGGAGAAGGGGAGAGGAAGAAAGAGAAGGGGGTGAGAGGGGAAGAGTATACGTCCATTGTTTGTTTCACAAACCAATACTTGGCCACCATGAGAGGGCGGCGTATTCTGGTCAGGAAAAGGGAGGCAGCATTCATAGATGCAGAGTGTATTTTGGGGGGGTGGGGTGGTGGGGGGGAGTTGGGGTGGGGGTGGTTAGCTGTTGGTGGTGGGGGGGGTGGGGGGGGGGTGGGTGGTGCCTTCATGCCTAGACCGTTCTAAACATCAACGTCCTTACACTTTCATCAGTAGCCGCCTTATCTATTATCACCTCAGGCAAGAGTCGTCCACTGGGGAGTGTGGAACCCGGCCCACCAATAAGCGACACCACACCGTTGCAGTCGACCGTGCTGTGCCTCTTCCCGTTGACCGGAATGACGGGGAAGATCTTGGAGGACTTGCTGGTCTGGCTGTGCCCGCTGTAACTGTTCCTCCTGTTGGACTCCATGATGGGCACGAAGAGAGAGTTCTTCCTGTAGACGTCGCTCTCCTCCACCGTGCTGTGCTCGTCGTCGGCGAATTCCGTGTCCGATCCCGGGTCCTTGCGCTCGCGGATGCTGGAGATGCTGCTCTTGCTCTCGAACCGGGTCAGGTTGGGAGATCCCGAGATGCTGAGCTGGGACTGTGTCAACGCGAGAGAGAGAGAGAGAGAGAGGTTACATTATGCTATGTTTCGCCCACAAAACACACAGTCACTACACTTTACAGCACATCCCGTGAAGCGCTTTAAGACGTCTCCCCTCCCCTCCAAGCCAGGATGATCTCATTATTGCGTTTTGTCCTTCCCTTTCATCTTCTCCTTCCTTTGTTGTTTTTTTTTGGCACGTCTCCCCCAGTTGATGACCAATTATGAGTATTTAGGGTATTATTATCCCCGGAAAGTGATCGGCCAATCCACTAACAACCGGGTTTCTACTTACTGCCGGTAAACAGAGGCGTGTGCGCGTGTGCGTGTGCGTGTGCGTTTATCCCCGACCTGCCCGGGAATCGAACCCGGGTCCTCTCGCTTTGTGAGGTGAGCGCTCTGACCACTAAAGCTACGGGGACTCCATATAGGGCGTGTGAGGACAAGCCAAGGTCAAGATGCAGGACAACCCGGGAGCCGAGGAGAAGCCTGGAAACTAGGACACCGTGTTCTGAGGTCACGAGACATGGTTAACAAAACAACCATCTTCCTATTCGTAGAACCTTAGGAACGTTCGGCCCAGAAGAAGGCCATTGGGCCCACGATGCCCATCGACCTGAAACGTTAGTAACGTCTTCCTCTCTCCATAGATGCTGCCTAACCCCAGCGACAACAACAACAATAATAATAATCCTTGCATTCGATACAGCGCCTTAGCACGTCTTCGAGGCGTCTCAAAGCGCCGTACTCTGATTGCGTAGTGACTGCGTACCCCTCACACGAGGTAGTGTTTGCCCCCTCACCCTGCCCCACCACCCCACCCCACCCCACCTACACCCACCGCCCCACCCTCTCCCCCACCCCCCACCCCCCAAAAAAAAATGCCCGTTTACCTGGTTCATGGAATATTTCTTCCCGAACGGAAAACGGGATTCGTTGGTGAAATGGCGACTTCTTCTATCCATCCCGTAGTCTGACTCCGAGTTGACTATCTTTTCGTGGTCGCCCTTCTCCTCTCCCTCCAACTGCTCCTTGAACTGCTTGCGTTTCTTCCTTCGGTTCCGTTTCTCCTTGGCGCTCTTGGAGCTGTGTTTGGACAGCTCGGAGGAGCTTTGGGACATCCTGCCCTCGCCCTCCTCATCCAGGGCGTCTTCCGACACCGTGCCCGCCGAGGTGGCAGCCGCCGCAGCTATCTGCTCGCCCGGGGGAGAGAGGGAGGGAGGGGGAGAGGGAGAGGGAGGGAAGGAGTGGGGAGATGGAGAGAGGGGGGAGAGAGAGAGAGAGAGAGAGGGAGGGAGGGATGGGGGGAGGTAGAGGGAGAGAGGGAGAGAGAGGGGGAAGGAGGGGGAGAGGGAAACAGAGCGATGCTTTGTCAAGAAAGGAACAACAATAATCGACGAACACCCGGGTTCCTACTGACTGCTGCGTAACCAGAGACGTGTGTCCGTGTTTGTGTGTGTGTGTGTGTGCGTGTGTGTCTGTGTGTGTGTGAGTGGGGTGGGGGGGGGTGGGGGAGTATGCGCAGCATTTCGCCCTGTCCTGACCCACCCAGGAATCGAACCCGGGTCCTCTCTCTTGCGAGGCGAGGGGCTCTGACCCCTGAGCTACAGAGGGATCTCCGGGCCCACAACGATTGACGTAAATGCACTGTTTTAAATCAAAAAAATCAGATGGCCTGAAATAATAACAACAACAACAATAATCCCTGCATTTGACACACGGCCCTTATCACGTCTTCGAGACGTCTGAAAGCGCTTCGCAGTGTAAAGTGAATTGCCCGGGTGTTTTGGGGACGTTGTGGTTTGGGGTTTCGGGGTCCAGCACTGACCAGGGCGTCTTCCTGCTGTTTCTTCAGCTGTTCCAGCATCAGCTTGAACTCTAGTTCCTTCTGTTCGGCCTCCTCCAGCGTGGCCTGGTTCTGCTCCTCGTAAGCCATGGCCACCACGGCCAGGATCAAGTTGACCAGGTAGAAGGAGCCCACGAAGATCACCAGCACGAAGAAAATCATGTAGGTCTTGCCGGCCGCCCTCAGCGTCTGGGAACCCACAGCACCGCACACGGGGTTAATCGCGGAGAGGAACAGCCGTCTCGAAGACGTCGCGATAACGACAACAACAACAACAACGACGACGACGACGTGCACTTATGCGGTGCCCTCCAACCCGGATAGCGTCTCAGAGCACTTAATAATAATAATAATAACAACAACAATAATCCTGGCATTTGACCCCATCGCCCGATCACGTCTTCGAGACGTCTCAAAGCGCTTCGCGGGATACACTGTGTAGTGTAGTGACTGTGAGTGTGTGTTTTGTGGGCGAAACGCGGCAGCCGATTGCGTCAAAGCGACGTCCCTGTGTGTGTCTGTGTGTGTGTGGAGTAAGGAAACTTGCCTAAGGTTTCGCCCCGACCCGACCCGGCTGGGACTCGAACCCGGGTCCTCTGGCTTGCGAGGCGAGGGCTCTAACCCCTACACTTTGGGGCTCCGACTTATAGAGCATCCCTTCATGTCGGGGTAATGTCTCAGAGCGATTTAAACACACACTCGGGTGGGGGCGAGTGGGGGGGGGTTTGGTGGAGGTGGAGGGGGTTTGGAACACACACATGACTTACCAGTTGGTATAAGTTCTCCCAAAAGTCTTGCGTCATGAGCCGAAACAATGTCAGGAAAGCCCACCCGAAGGTGTCAAAGCTGGTGTAGCCATAATCGGGATTCCTGCCCGCCTTCATACAGGTAAAACCTTCCGGGCAATTTCTGAAATGATTTCATCATCACAGTTAAATCCCCCCTTGCGCTTGAGAAAGCCGTGGGGCGGAGGGCAAGGGCTTGCGTCTACGAGAGTCATGTTATTAATGCTAATAATTCGTAATAACCCTTTGCATCGCGATACAGCGCCTGATCGCGTCGTATGCCACGTCTTAAAAAGCGCTCCGCGGGATATAACGTCGAGCGGGGAGCTTACCCGGCGTCTGTGCCGTTCCCGCACAGTAAAGGGTCTTTGAATCCCTCCATCTTGTAGAAGTTTGCTGAGAGAAAGAACAGGCAGATGGTGCGGCTGTTAAAACCTCACGGAGATTCACAGCGCAGAACGAGCAGCAGCTCGATTTGGCCCATCGGGTCTGCGCAGACCCTTTCAGTCTCTCACCTGCTCCACATGGCTGTGGGGCGGGTGGAGGGGGAAGGGGTGGGGGTTTGAACCCACAAAACTTCTGGCCGAGGGGCGAGAGCGCAACAGACTGAGCCAGGCTCCTCTCTCTCTCGCACACATCGGCCAACTCCAACACGCGAACCAAACAACAACAACAACAAGTGACATTTACTCAGCGCCTCTCGCGTCAGGAGGAACGTCCCAAGGCTTTGGGCTGGACGGTCAGGGATTTGGACCGGGAGGGGGTTGGAGGGTAGTGGTGGTGGTGGCGGTGGGCGGGGTGGGTGGGTTTTGGAGGGTGACCGAAGGCGCGGTCGAAGTAGGAGGCCACACGAGAAGGAGAGGAAGGGGTTTCGGAGAAGATGAGAAGTTTCGCTCACTATCGTTCATGATGTACTCCTGGAAATTGAACAGCCTGGTTCCATTCTCGTCCGTCATGTTAAAATATAAGGGATCCGGTGGCCAGAATACACACTTGTGTCTCAAGGTCCCCATGAACAACTGGAGTCCGATCAGAGCGAAGACACTCAAGCAGAATACAGTCAATATCATCACATCGGAAAGCTTCTTGACTGACTGGATCAGAGCTCCCACAATGGTCTTAAGACCTGGCAGAGGGCAGTAGGGACGGGGAGAGAGAGAGAGAGAGATGAGAGCAGAGTTAAGGGGTAATAGGAGGCGTATAAGGCGTCCGAGGCATCACGCACGCACACACTCGCAAGCACGCCCCCCGATCACTCCGTTTCCCCCTCTCCCCCCCATCTCCCCCCCCCTCCCCCCCCCACCCCGATCTAGAAGGAGCATTCTGCCAATAACATGCAAGTAGCAAGCGGTGTGAAGTGCCAACCGTTTGATAAGAACACTCGTATCGCGCCGGCCCCCGCCGTTTGACCCGGCGCCTTATCACGTCGTTGAGACGTCCCAAAGCGCTTACACAGGATACACTGTCAGGCGTAGTGACTGTTTGTTTTGTGGGCGAAACACGGCAGCCGATTGTGCTCGAACAGTTGTGGACTGAAGGGACCAGATTATTATTATTATTTTTATTTGAAGGGATTATTGCCCCCGGAAAGCGATCTGCCAATCGACTAACCAGGGAGTTCCTACTTACCCCTCGTAAACAGGGTGTGTGTGTGTGTGTGTGTGTGTGTGTGTG